ACCTCCAACCATCTCATATCATTATATGTGATGACTGCCTACATATTTCTATTGGTAAAAATGTCCATGGACAAATGACCTTCAAATAAACTAACTCCAATTTATGTAAAAAAAAATTTTTGGACTATATATTTTGATGATTAATAAAAATCTGAATAAATCTGCTAAAGAAGCTGAGGCTTACACAACGAAATTTATAATGAATCAATCTGACTCGGCGCTCAAATTATTCCAGAAAGTTCGTAACACCTACGGTCTGGAAACTTATGTGTAAAGATGGTTACCGGGGGACACAATTCTATCACTCATGAAGAAATTTAAATCAGTTCACTTTATGCCAAAAATTGCGCTGAAGGGGGATTTCGTCCAGAAGGGCAACGAAAGCTCCGCAACTAAACCAACCAGCTCAGAGAACACTACTAATTGCAAATCATCCATGTGAGCTACAAATCTTCACTATTATTTCAAATAGCTATTTATATACATACAGTTTCATATTCCCTAACCAATCATTGAGCGCGTGATTTTGGCTTACATTAAACGACATGAAATAGAATGATCAAATAACCATAGTATTCTGTTGCTAACGCCGTATTGAATTGTGGGGATAAGTGAGTATCATATTCTGTTGGCACACACTGTCTGTATCACACCATCACAAACGAATAATACAAACATGCGAATGTATTTTGTATCTCCATGATGCAAATATTTTAAAAATTGGATATTGGATACTTATTTTCGGAATATTATCTACATACTTACTGACTGACTTAGTAAGTTCCAAAACACGATATATGCAAAAAAATGAACAGCAATTCAATTAGCCACATTTCATACGCACACTAATGTAGAGGAAAAAGCAAAATACAAAAGAAGTGCAGTAAACGAAAATCTGTGAGAGAGAAGAGTAAGAACATGGAGAATAATTAGCATTTAGTAGGTCTGAAAATCCATGAAAAAATAAGTATGTCAAGACCACTGAGATCGGTATTGAGCCATATCGCCAACAGTCTTAAACAGTTGATTCTTAGAATCCCTAGGATCCCAGCTAGGCAATCTATACTTCCCTACGTGTCTGACACCTATAGCTAAAGACTGAGTTCATTGGTACCATATTTTGGTTTTTTACCACTCGAAACTCTATTCCACACTGATCCCATGTCAGCTAACATTGATCAACGAGGAAGGTGATGACATTCGGACAGAAGAACATGCGTCCGAGGTATCTAGATCAATATAGCTTCACAGTAGCATCGATTAACTTCTGCTTCTTATCTAACACTCTAACACCCTTAACTCACCATATTAAACCGCTTAACATGGGAGATAAAACGCAGACACCTACGATCAAGGACATCTAGTCTTGACAGGTTTTCCATCTTCAACAACCACATGCCACAGTCGTAAAGGAGGACAGAGCCGACCACTGAGCATCACACACCTTTGATCGATAGCTGGATGTCACATCTATGTCAGAGATGACGTGAGCTGGCAGATGCTACAGGAACCTTTTATATCCGTGTTGCGACTTAGTCACTAGTAAACCCATTAGGACTTATGCAACTTCCCAAATAAGTAAAGTAACCAACATGCCCAAGCATTTTACTCCCCATCTTACAACTGTTAGTGATCATCTAATTCTTTGAACTCAAATAGGCTAAGAAGGTATCCTCATGATGGATATTACCTAAAAACATTAATGGTAACTACTTCGTGCAACTATATATGCAGACAAACGGCCGCTTTTGTATATGAATAGTATCAAATACTACCTTAAGGTAATCCTAGTATTTACAATTGATACAGTCAACTCTAAAATGTAACCAGGTCATAAAACCACGAGTAGCACTGGCTTTCAGTTGTACACAAGTATGCACAGTTAAAAAAGTTGTATCACAAATTAAGATGCATAGACAAAGTTGAAAACGCTCGATAGTGAAGAATGTATTACCAATAATAACAGGCATTTCGGGTCCAGAACATTGATGGTTGCATAAAAGCTACCAGTCATTGTTAGTATATAGTAGAAAAACTGGAAAACAAGTAGACTGAGAGCAGAAATACACTGAAGAGTATTTCAGTTAGCCGCCATTGATCAAGGATGCAGTGACAGCTTCCGGATTCAGATCAGACTGACAGAACGACCACAACTCATGCTGGAAACCATATTATTATTATTGTTTCCTTTTGTTCCTAGAGGAACATAGGGCTTCAGCCTCACGTCCTCATTGCGTTCGGTTCTCTGCCAACGTTTTCATCTATCTCCACGTCTACCCACATGCGTTCATCTCTTCTCCACATGACCTCCTCCGTGCCACCCAACCCTCGAATTGACAAACAACTCGCCGCTTCCCGTTCGAGTTTCACTCGAGAGCCTATCGTGTCATGTCACTTGATGCATTGTTTTCTGAGAGTATGACCAATCACCCTCCATTTCTTCCTGCATATTTGCTGCACAGTTGGTTCCTGCAGGGTTGGTTCGCTCATTGCCAGAGATCGCTGTTGCTGATCTTTCCTGGTCGGCCATCTAATCTTCAGTGGTATTGATCGAAGACAGCTGTTGGTGAAGGTCTTCAGTTTGTTAAAAGTGCTCTTTGTGACGCGCTGGCCGAGTCTCTGATCCGTATAGTAGCACTGACTTCACATTGGAGATGAAGATCCGGATCTTATTTTTTATTCTGAGTGCTGTTGACCTCCACACGGACTTGAGAGAAATGAAAGCTTGTCTTGCCTTCCCGGTCCTAGCTTTGATATCCTCGTCAGTTCCGCCTGTACTTGAAACGATGCTTCCCAAATAGTTAGTAGGTGAAGTAAGTTGCTTCTTTCAGATTTCTCCCATATATGCTGATTGTTGTCTGTTGTTGTTGTTGTTGACCAGGAATCTACATTACACTGACACGCTTTTCGATCAAAACACAACGTTTGCGTAGTTATATAAAACTCTCATTTCTCTGGTGTTTTTGGCCAGGAAGTTGTAGAATATGCTGTAATTACTTTACCTTCGAACACTTAATCGGTGGATATAATCTTGTTGATTGATAATACCTATAACTAACTGTTTGGCATTTTGTGACTGTTTAACACTAACTAATATCTAGATATTTGTATTGTTGGATTTACATACCCAAGTTGACCCATTTCAGTGGGTCTACGGTTTTGATATGATTTTTTGTTAACTGTTTCTAACAGTGATACTACTGCTACGGCTATTTTGTTGTTGTCGTTACCTTTCTTCCTGTTATGAATTTTTATTTTCCTTTCGCTGGGGTGTTGCTCTGATTGCTTTATTCTTTGTTTCCCTGATGTTAAGGGGAACAACCCAAAAAGTTGCTCCCCTGTAACCTATACATTTATGTAACAACCCCCTTCTCAGGAGCACCACCCTGTAAACAAAGCTGCTACAGAAACTTCAGTATGATGAGTCTCCTTGCGACAAAAGAAAAAGTCTGTGTAGGGAAATGGAACGTCCGCACCTTGTATGAGACTAGCAAAGCTGCCCAGATTGCAAACGAGAAGAAAAGATAAGGTATTCAAGTACTAGGAATACGCTGGAAACCACATAGTGTATCGATTCAGGTAAAAAACAAACAAAATATTGTTAGTACTGACAATACCTTACCATTTAGAAATGACGGAGAAGAAGATTTTTAGTTCAGACTGATGAAATTCACGTACTTTAGTTCCCTGAACAACCAAACAAAATACTTTATCATTTACTTTGGTTATGGCTGATATAACGGGGCTGATTGTATAAGGCATGTTGGTAGAATAATCAGATGTCCAAATTTCGATTCGCTTATAATCCTGCCTTTGAAGGGCTCAGCAGTTTAACATAAAAACGATCAACAAATAACAAAGATTTGGTATACTAAAATGAGGATTTATCTTTTCAACTGAGAGTTAGGCATTTGAGACTTGCTTCGTTTAGTACATTTGGGTTAGGCAGTTATCAACAGGCAATCCGCAAGAAGCCTTGCTTGACCTAGGTTTCGTGCTAGTTGGTACTCACCAGTCAGCAAGGTGTGTCTACAATCTTGAAGGAACTCATGAGATTCGACCCCGCGTCACCCAGTGGGGCTGCAGTCAGAGACGTTAGCACCGAGCTATTCGGGGTGGCTCGCGATTGACCTCCTGCAGGACTGTAGACATTTATTTGGCTTCCAATTAGTCCCCTTAGTTGAGTTTAAAAATCAGCTTAAAACATTTATACCATACAAAAACAAGTTCCATCAATAGACTAATTTTTGATGGAGAAAACATGACGATATATTGAGTTCAGTTAATCAAGTTGGGGAAGCAATAGAGAATGAAATTATTCAAAGGTAATGAAACTACTGTGTTTGAAAGTATGCGTAAGTGGTTCACAGGTCCGAGGTTCCATCCCCAGCCAATGCTCTACTAAACTTAGGTGAGCCCAGTAAAGAGGGAAGGTTGACAATGAAACTAGAAACCTCAGCCCGTAAAAAGTCACCACTGCTATTGACACTTCAAGACTTAAAGCTTGCAGTTATATCTTCAACCCGGGGTGCAAAGAAACAAAATAATAAATAAATGTTTGAAAGTAGACATATTCAGTGTAGTTATTTTTACTTTACCTTAATGGTAGAAAATAATTCCAGTAGTTACATTAAATAATATTATTAACAGTAAAAACAGTCATTGAGATAGGTAGAGAAACATGTTTTGCATTCCGTAAACATAACTGTAACGGAGCCAAAGAGAACTGTTTATCAAATATTATTATTATTAAAATCATCAGCATCAAACATGAATACAACAGACTGATAAACAGCAGGCATTCACTATACATTTTAAATTTAGCTGAAAACGTAACATTTTTAAAATATCTGAATAACAGTAATTATGAAAGATGCAATCGATTAATAAATGTAGTGTATATATATATATATATATATTATGAATGCCAATATAGTACAATGTTTTAACAGCTAAGTCCTTGAAATTAATGCGAAACAGACATAAACTTTAGTACTTACCGCTCCACTTTGGCAGAGTTCAACTTGTTGGCCATTGAAATAGAAGAAGCCCCAGTCACTAATCTGTCGATCGATTTGTTGGTTTATCCATTCTAAACTTTTCGCACCTTTCGATTGTAATTCCGAATGATAGTCAAATATAATATGGTGAATATTATTCTTTTTTAAAATAAACATAAGAAACGGGAAAGGAATAAATTATATATATATATATATATATATATATAGTCATCCATTAATTATTATCACCAATGTTATTCCTAATTGTGGTGGATTGGATTATGCGTCAAACAGTGGGAAACGAGAAGACAGGGATATCCTCGACCGACCGATGTGAAGAACCTAGAAGACCTGGATTTCGCGCGTGGATGATTTATGTTTGATGTCACACAAAATCGAAGACTCACAAGCGAAAACCGACAAACTGGTCGAAGAAGCAGCTGGCGAAGACAAAACTCCAGGTGAACATAGACAAGAAGGAGGTTATGAAAATAACCCACCACCACCACCAACAACAACAACAGAAGCGACATCCAGAGCCAATCACCATCGACAGGAGGAATTTGAAAGAGGTTACTTCATTCATTCACTTATCTAGGGAGCATTGTCTCTACTACAGGAGCAGGAACGGACGAGAATGTCAAATCGAGCGAGAATCGGGAAGGCGAGAAACACATTCATCAGCCTGACTGAAACCAATCTGGAAAACCAATCTTCGTCACTCAGCCACCATCAACAACAAAATTTGGTCGGATTTTCAATACAAACGTCAAGTCAGTTAGTTCTTCTATACGAATCAGAAACTCGGCGGGAGGGTCACAAAGAATATTTCCAACAGCCTGTTGCACACCTTTATCAACCAACAACTGTCTTCGCTGGATCTATACTGAAGATCAGATGGCCGGGCCGGAAAGAATCACCAACAAGAAACTATGGGAAGAAACAGAACAAGAAGCAATCGCCAACCAACATATATGCAGGAGAAAGTGGAGATGGATTGGACACTCGCTGGTTGAGGAGGCCACTGGGTGACATTGCGCGAGCGTCAGGCCATTGCTCGAGTGGAAGCCAAAAAGGGGAGCGGCGAGTGGGTTGAAACAGTATGGACTAAGATGGATGCAGGTGAAAAGTACAGCAGAAGACAGAAGCAAGTGGAGACGTGTAGTCGAAACTCTATGTTCTACTAGGAACCCAAGCGAACAATAATAATAATAACATCCATTAATTATCATAACATGCAGATAGATAATGGCAGAAGTTGAATAAAAACTTCTGGAGAGTGGAATTTCGATGCAACAATCTGCCAGTTGCTACCGTTACGAAAACAAGAATGCGAATTAATCATCTAGTGATGAATTTATTCATTGGCTTAAGCAGTCCACTATCAATTGATGGGTTCCTAGTACAATAAGTATGACTCCTAGCCTAGAACATAAGAGACGATTTATCTATGTGTTGAGCTACAAACTTACTGTATGAAGGTTTACCATACAAGTACACAGTGGTCTAGACTGAAATAGTTAAGGCGGGATTTGAACCACAAGTTCACTGATTGGAAGTAAAATGCTGAAGCAAAAAAATGGACCATCTCTCTTTGCTCTACTGAGTAAGGTGTGAAAACCAACTGCTAGGAGTAAACATATTGACGTCGAGTAAACTTTATGCTTACCTACATGAATAAAAATCAACCACCCCTGAGAAACACTTCCCTGAAGCTAAACGTGTAATGGGCTTTCTTCCTACATAGAAATCCACAAGATATAAAACGATACTAAAATATAGAGCAAACATCACAGTTAACCATGCTACAGATAGCAGTTATTCACGCCCTATTACAAAGGCACTCTAATCGAACTCAAGCAGCCAGGGTGACGGCTTATGGCAAGTTGTCATCCGAAGTGGTGACGACTAGTGGTGTCCGTCAAGGATTCCCATTATCCCCATTTCTATTCAACTTCATCATAGATATACTAATGGACTTAACCCTAACTCACTTCAGCGACTCAGGGATTGACTTGTTACCAGGGAATAATCTTGTCGAATTAGAATATGAAAACGATATAGTCTTTCTAGGCGAGGACGCCGACAAAGTGTAGAGTCTTCTGAACACCTTGAGCTGCAATCTACGAATGTTTGGCATGCGATTCGCTCCCGCTAAATGCAAGATGATGTTACAGGACTGGACCCCACTGACTCCTAGTTTAGAAATAGGAAGTGAAGTGGTAGAGCTGGTTGACGGCTTCACTTATTTGGGAAGTTGCACAAGCCCCGACGAGTTGACCTCTGACGAAATCTCAGCACAGATACAGAAGGCTCGGTTGGCATATGCCAGTTTATGCCATCTCTGGCATAGACGTAATATCCGGCTGGCTGACGACCGAAGGGCGTGTGTTCTGCTCAGCAGTTCGCTCCGTCCTCCGTTATGGCTGTGAGATCTAGCCATTGAGAGTGGGAGATATGAAAAGACTGGCTAGCTGTCTTTGATCATAGGTGTCTGCGTTCTATCTCCCGTGTGAAGTGGTATAATAGGGTGAGAAATATTGAGGTTACACACCGGTCGAGTGCTAGGTAAGGAGGGGGAAATCAATCGACGAGGCTGTGAAGCTACATCGACTGAGATGGTTAGGACATATGTTACGTATGCCTAGTCATCGCCTTCCTCGACGGGCAATGTTAGCTGATATAGGGCCAGGCTGGATATGAACTAGCGGCGGTCAAACCAAAAGATGGCCTCACCAGTCAGTGAAATGTACAACAGTTGGTTTAAGCCACGTAGGATGGTGTAGACTTCCGGGTTGGGGTTCTCGGGACGGTAAAAACCAATGGTTGGAAACAATTAGTGATACAGCTCAAAGTGATCGTTCTCAATGGCTAGCGCAGATGCATCCACTCCTTGTGACTTATGATTTCCAATGAAACAATATTGTTCTTCGTTATTACTATTCTCTTGTCTCACACCTCTGTTTACTGTCTCTATTATACATTTCTTCTACTTTCTTGTCTGGATTTGTGTGCTATATGAAGTGTGGCGACTTGAACTGCAGCATATATGTGCAAAGTTCTATGCCGAAAACAGACAGACAGACAAAGAAAACACTCGAAATTACGTATGCTTTCTGAGGATGTAATAAATTAATTTAATTTTTTTTTAAGTATTTGATTATAGCTTAATTCCACACCGTATTTTCGGTACAAGTTTAGAATTTTCAGCATGTGATACGGGTAGCCCAAATTTTGCAGGCCGACCAATTCATATCAGGTGTGCATCGGAAGGGAATCGAACCCCGGACAATATGCATAGTCGGCGAGAGTCTTAACCACTGTGCCATCGACACATGAACTAAGGAGATAGATAACTAATTCGCCAGTCAACTCCTAATTACATATAAAATGAAACTGAGTGGTAGGCAAGGAATGAGGATATTTGGTTAATTCTGCTAAAAATTAGCTCATGTCACTTTGACCCTCCATAGAGTAGATCATAATCAGAGGATAACACATACAGTCTGTCAACTTTAATAATTAATTCCTTATTACAACAGATGGCTAACAAAAGTTACTTGCTTCATAAAATAACTAATTTATCGAGTGAACTATATCCAGTCAACTTAGCTTTAAATAAAAATATAGGACAATTCAGCGAAGAAAATTTTCTTTATCAACGAAATCATCTTCAGAGGCTGTACAGTCGTATTTATATTTACCAAATTTGTATAGTAGTCCATTACTGAGTAGTAGGTGAGCGCGGGGTGACATAACTGATATAATTACTCAGAAGTGGTATCAAAATTAAAAATAAAAATTGTAAATTACGTAATACTCAACGGCGCAAAGGGAGAAAGCGTCAGAAATTTAAAAAATTTACATTCCAGAAATTTGATAGGGTTAAAATAGCTTTTGAGTGAGAAGAAAGGCAGTTGAGTGTCGGCTTACATTTTCTCACCTTCTTCACACTTGGTAAATGGATATTCAATTTTAACATCATCAGATTTCTAACCCTTTCTTCCTTTGCGCTCTTGAATATTACATAGTTTACAATTTTTATTTTTACTTTTGATACCACTTCTGAGTAAGTAAGTCGATTGTGCCAGCCCGCCCCCCGCCCCCTAATAATAAATAATATAAATGATGAAATCCCCCATGCAATCAAACGAAATCCCTACAAAACCAATACCTGAAAATTCATCTGATGCACACTAACGACTAGCCCTATTCAGGCAGTTAACCTGGGGTTCTACTGGGAAGCCGTGACTAGTTGGGTACAGCAGGTTGAAGATGAGGCAGTAGCTCATTGGAGAAGACTTTGCGAAATGGTCGCGCTATGTCGTGAATTTGCGGAAGTTAGAATTTAAGGACCATTGGATTGGGTCCCAGTGGCTCAATGGTCTACGAGCTCGCCTTGTAATCGGAGGGTCCTGGGTTCGAACAGTGGAGGTGGGTGCGTACTGATGAAGAGTCCCGAAATAGGCTGGCGAAACAGCTGTCCAGTACTCCCAGGTTCCCCAGTGGTTCTCTAACTGATGTCAACTCATGATGAAATCCTCCATGCAATCAAATATAAGTACGACTGTACAGCCTCTGAAGATGATTTCGTCGATAGAGAAGGCTTGTAAATCACTGTGATGTTATAAATGATTTAAGCTTAGTAGACTTCATCAGCTTTCTCAATAATGTTAATTCTCAATGATATAATGTAGGATACAAACAGTATAGATGTCTGGATTTCAACTTAGCTTGCCTTAAAACTTAATTTCTTGTGTAATAGTTGCCTTGTGCTCCTTGATTTATGGTGCTTCTCTAATAAATACTCGTTTTATACTGTAACAAAACAAAACTTTATGCAAGAGAATTGCATCTTTAAAACCGATATCACAAGTAAACAAAGTGAGAAAAAAAATAAAGAATAAATGAGAAAAAAAAAGGTTCATACTATTTCACTAAAAGTACTTACTCTAAAAGATGACTTTCTATGTTGATCTTGATACGACTTACTAAGCATCGCCTCACCTTGTTTACAGCCCAGTAAGTTAACAATGCCAATCGATCCATACTGTGACATTAAATTCATAAAATGACGCTCGAAAGCACTCATTGATATTTCCAATGGTCGACTAAGTGAAATTTTGTGTGATCCAACTTGCAAACCTGGTTGTTCCCAAAATAGCGGAACTGTACCACGTAGCTGGATATAGCTACACACTGAATCACCCAAATAGATAAACTATTAATATATTTTAAAGAAAAAAATCAGGGGAATTATTTTGAGATAAAGTGGTCGATAAACAATGAAGCACGAAAAATATTAAATCTAAAGCTAAAGTAATAAAATGTAGCAAAAATATTCATTCAGATATCTATAAAACACAAAATAATTGAGCAAAGAATATCTTTTTCGATAATTTCTTCTTCTGGTCCTACAATTATACACATATGTTTATATATACAGAATATTCAAGAATAGTAGTCAATAACAATATTAGTGTTTTTTAAATATTATCGATTTATAAAGTATGATCAATGGAATTACAGTTCATTAAAAATGCTTAAATTATAATAATAACAATAAAGATATAATAGCAAATAGAATACCAACTAAAATTAAGAAAATTCCACAAAAATCCAGGATCATTCAAACCTAGATGGCCAAGGTAGGTGAGGATAATGTCTGAACTAACTTTTTTTGGATGCACAAATTAGGCTGGTTAATATGGATTCTAACAGCCAACCTCTGCAATATTTAGTAGTCGAACTCTTAAGGCAAAATTGAGATTCGTAGGTATGCGATAAATGACCCTGAAAGCATGGTTAACGTTAATCTTGTGTTCTGTATCCACAAGATGAGATAGAATAGAGCTGAGAATAGATTTTGTTTGTCCTTTGCTTAACCACTCAGGGTGATGTTCGGAAATTCGACGAGAAACACGCCCAATAGTACGGCCTATGTAACTGGCTACATAGGAGCAGTTGAATTGGTAGAGACAGATAGAAGGGACTCCTTGGTTGGTTTTCAACGGTTCTCTAACTGATATCAATCCGTGATCAACTCGTAGAAAAAAAATTAACCCTTACAAAAACCGACTATAGGAAATAAAATTCAAGTGTTGGTTTGTAGGGATTTGATTGGTTACAGGATTTCATCATGAGGTGACATCAGTTAGGGAACCATTGGAAAACCTGGAAGTACTGGACAGCTGTTCCCTCCGTCCTAGTTTGGGACTCTTCATCAGTACGCCCCTACCGCCAGGGTTCGAACCCAGGACCTTCCGGTTACAAGGCGAGCTCGTATACCATTCATCCACTGGGACCCGATTCAATGACCAGTCCATGAATTCTAACTTCTGCCAATTCAAGAAAATGAAATGCTTTTGGCCGAATATTTCTCAAAGCAACCGTTCTAGTATTACACCTCAATAGTAAAAATTTTTAGTGAGCCTCATTCAGAATACTATTATCAGAGAAAGATTCAGTCACTGATCCCAAGTAAAAATCAAGCAGTAGGAAAAACAACTAATCATATAAGTATAAGATGTCACATTTAAAAAAAAATTAAAGATATAACTGTACTACCGTGGTTGAAGAAATAATTTGATATTAAAGATAGAGTATTTCTTCACGTCTTTCCGATATTCATCCACCAAACCCTCAAAATAGCAGTAGAATGCCGAGGACACAACGAATATTTCCGTGATTTGTTAAGATGAATTTACAAAAGATTACAAACTCATAACAGTTTATCAAATTTCAGAATTTCGTTCCACTGATCCGAAAGCAAAACGAAGTGTGTACAAAGATTAGAAAAAACCTGTTCGGGAGATACGATAGAGAAAGAATTAAATTCATTACGTGAAACCCTACTAGAGAATGGGTATCCCCCAAGATTTATAGACAACAACATGAAAGAGAAGCCTCCGTCACCAAAAATCACAACCGTTCTAAAGAAAGCCCTCTTCATCAACCTGGAATTCAAAGGTGACATCACGGAAGAAATTCCTAGAAACTACCTTTCTAAATGTCTGCAGAAGACACTTCAACCAGACACCTTACGTATCACATTCTCCAGAATACAGTTAATCCAGTCTACCACTTTTAACCACCTCAATGTGGTGTATTTATCAGTTTAATTGCTTGTGTGGAGCAAAGTATATCGACCGTAAGCAACGTCAAGTCCACAAACATATTCTCGAACATTGTCCAGCTTGGTTAGCCAGCCAGAGGAGGAAAGAAGAATAATAGTAGCTCCATCCTCGAACACCTTGACCATTCTGGACATCGAACACTCCCACTTGCATCAATGCTTCACAGTACCACACAAAGTCCCTCAATATCGTACAAAGTGACTTCGAATACATCATCTGGACATAGCTGAACCCCTGGCTATTCGGGATCTGAAAACATACCTCTGCATTCATATGCACTGCATACATTCACTCACCCTACCGTGGCTAGAGTAACGTTCTTACTATAATTTTGCTGTTTTTTATTATGTAAGTTTACCATTATGGTTGATATTATTATTTTACTACTATTATTATTTTCATCATCCATATTTTATTACTACTCCATTACTGTTTGTTAATAACGGTGCGTTTTCATACAGACTTTATAAAAACACTTTATCGTCTTTCCACTATTTTCTGTTCATTCTACACGAGCTTACTGGTTAGTCATTATCTCACACTTATTATGTCATGCCAACTTCTGCCTCTTTCTAACCTGCCGATTAGTCAGCCCCTCTAGGTTAAACATTGCAATACGTAATACGTTTTTACGAAGAAAAGTCTTACCATTTTATTGGTGGATGGTGACTAGCAGGGGAATCCAGGATGCGCATTTCGTCTTATTTGGGACTCGTCATCTGGACGTACCTGCATTTCTCAGTGAGTGATGACGTCCAGACATCGTCGAAGCATCTGCACAAGAAGCCAAAATGTCAACCTGAGACAGAGCACTTCGGTCCAATCAATCGACGTAAAAATCTCAAATTCAATTTTTTTAAAAAGTTTTGCCATTATTTGATTCGTCTTACTATTTCTTTGTTAAATATAATTACGACTGTACACGTTATGAAAATGAATCGTCGAAAAAATGTTTTCGCTGTTTACGTCTTTTTCTTATTACAAATATATCTTGAAATGACGGCTTTATATTGATTATTGGAAGCCGTGGTTTGAAGGTCAAGGAATACGTATATGTTCACTCTAACCCGAAGAAAACTAGATAAGAGCTAAACCGCGAAAATTCCAAGTAAATTAGACAACAAACATTCATAGAAAACAGTTATCTTCAACTTCATACGGTCGAAAATTCATTTACCTGTTCAGCAGTTTTTACCCCTTTACCCGTCTCCATTTTCTAACAATAACAATAACATATGCTACGCACATTCCACGAAAATGTATGTCATGTTTGCATCAATATAAAAGTTAATGAAAACAAAACACGTAGTTCAGAGAGGAGTCGCTTTTCGGCTAATTCATTTACTTAGCTGTACAGTTGCAATTACACATACTTATTTTTGTATATATCTGTCTGTTTGTCCGATGAGAATAAAAATAAGTCAGGGTTATTGTTGTCAAGACATTTCAAAAATGTGATGAGTAATCAGATTATAACTAGGGGGCAAGAGGGTAGTCATGATGCATTGTCAAAACTTATTAATTGAATTGAATTAAACATTGTATATGATACTTTGATCGAAAATAGCTATCTCGACAAATTTATCAAGGAACACACGAAAAAGAAACTGGAAAAGACCTACTCACTATCTGTAAACAAGAAGCCTCTTTATATACGACTGCATTTCAAGGGCGATACACCAAGTGAGATAATTACGAGGAAATTAAGAAAATCAGTTCAAAGAACTTTTAATGCTGGCGAACTACACGTCGTATTCTCTATACGACCGATGATGATTCCTCATATGAAGGATGAAGTACCTAGACTAGCCACTTCAAATTGTATCTACCAATTCAACTGCACCTGTGGAGCGAGTTATATTGACCGTAGCTCTAGGAACTTGATTTTTCGTGCTCACTCGGGAACATCTCCCACTATGGCTAAGTGAAGGTGTAGTGTAAGCCATCAACAGTTCGATATTGGACCATCTGGTGCAAACCGGCCACAAAGCCCGCGTTGAAGAATCCTTCTCTATCATCTATCCGGTTTCTAATAAATTGATGGAAACGCCGAAGCACCACATGCTCCAAACAGCAGAGGCCATTGCAATTTGCCTCAAACAATCAGTGCTGTGTTCAAAAGAAGCAAGTCCAGCCTTTACTACTGCCCTGGTCGGCCTTCAGTAGAAACTATAAACTCATGAATTTGTAATATTATCTCTCCTAATTTTTCTGACATTCAGCTTATATTGTTATGTTGATACCATTTAGCTGTTATCTACCAGTATTATTGATTTGATGTTATTTAAACAACATTAATGTTGTTCATAACCCTAATTCATTAATTCACTATAATGTATATATAGCTGTACAGCCTGATAATGAAGTTTTCGAAAAGAGTACTCTTTGTTCAATACCCATTCTTTTGAAAATTTTAATGAGTATTTTTAATCGGTTAAAAGTTAGGAATGTTAATCAACACATAAAAGAACTGGAATAAGCGAAGTACAATTACGTAATAAGATAAATAGTCTAATGAATGAGTTGTGAGTAGGATGCACATAGAAACAAAGGAAAATGTGCGATTATACGAGTTCTGAAAATTATAAGTTTTATAAGGAGTTAGAAAAAAAACAAACCAGACCACAAACACCAAGTCAGTAGAAGTCAACACAGTTGCTTCCATGATAGTAGAAGTGGTTGGATGATTTTCTTTTATATGCATAACAATGATTTTTCCAATTGAATTGCTAAGGCTTCAGCAATACAAAAGAGACGAAAGCGTATTGCCTTTGGTAGGCTGTTCTTTACGCTGTAGATCACTTTGAAGGAGGTGTTTGTTGAGATGAAACGACTAATGTTGACGAGATGTTCGATTATCCCACTCCTTATACAGCCGCTATTACCTTTTTGTAGCCAGGCGGGGTAGTGTTCTTGAACCCTTTTGGACAGGATACGCGTTGAACGATCAGTGTACCTGGTTCCACAGCAACAGGTGAACTGATATACGCACACAGAAGTGATCAGATGCGAGATCTTGTCCTTAAGGTTTCTGCAGATCAATGGACGACTGGAGAACACTACACTTAGTGTTGCTGCGAAGAATGTTCTTTTCAAAGAAGCTGAAATTCTCTCGAGGATATCACAAGCTTGAGAGTCAGTGGAAACCAAATCTGCAGCATCGTCTTACATTTGATAGGGACGAATCGCAGGTCAAATACTCCAAGATTTCTGCTCAAGGTTTTCAGAAGACTTTACATTTTGTTAGCATCTAGACGAATTATATCAGCTGAATATTCTAAATTGACGAGACTGTTTCTTATTAACTAATCAAACGTTAAGTCACTAAAGTTGATTATAATCATATCGATTAGTGTATCTATGATGAAAGTGGATAGATATGGGGACAATGGATACCCCTGAAGTTAACATTCTACCTACACTTACATATGTCAATACAGCGTGATGACTTTGAAATTGAAATATATCTAGAATGAAATTCATGTTAGCAGATGATGGTGCACACTTAAATGAAGAATCTAAAGTTGTAAATCAAACCACCTACGCCACAAGTGTAAAGAACATGTAAAATAACATTTCGGTCTGTTAATAAAACATGTAAGTCCAAGGACACATTTACCTACCTGTTCTGTTTCTACAAAATTTGCTACATCGCCACTATCATTTATCCCGCGAACATGAAAACGAGTACCAGGTCTCTGAGCCGAAACTCTTGAAACAACTCCAACCCGCGCTTGGCCAACACCGCAGTAGACTGTGGAAACCTCAAATCCACCACAAATTATGGATACCAGCCAGTCATTGGGATTAATCCCAGCTCGCATTAATGGTCCCATTAACCCTTTATTCCACAGGAAATTCATACCAGTATCACTCCGAGAATATACATCAGCGGTATTCCAAAATTCATCACCCAAGCGACTTCGATTCTGAATGTTGACAGTCAAATCATACGGTGTACCATCGACAATTGACCGAGCGAAGTAAAACATTCCTGAAGAAAGAAGTTTGCGGAGCTAGAATAAAAAAATGTTGGTAAATAAATCAGGATATGGTCCATCAAGATAAACTTTAATTTGGAAAGCAATTAACAGCAAGTCAAAATCTGTTAAATTTAGACCAATGACTCCTCTTCGTCACTAAATTACACTAGAATATTGGGCAATGTTTGATTTTTTAATTTTAACAGACCGAAATCAAGAGAAAATGAACCCCATTCACTTAAGAAAGCATGCATTTTATCAGTGACTGATAATACAGATCTAAAGATTATGAACTAATTCTGACTACACTACCCTGATTTGTTTGAGACTAAAAAGATGTCTAATGCTTACCCATGAATATAAAGAGATGGAATATGCTACTGAATGAGATTACTTTGCGCCCGATTGGCGTAACACTGAAGGCAAGCTTAAGGCTCATGCTTTAAAAAAATAGAAACAGCTGAATAATCACCCAGTGGCGGCATTTTATGTATGATATCTAGTATAATAGTTGGATAGTGTTCATAACAAAATGGAAAAATAGAAAGGAGGAGAAAAAATAGACAAATCCCAACAAATACTCCCATTTCCATGCAATCGTCAATGAGGCTTAATAGTACTACTTGACTGTTGGAACCACAGCAAACGTAGTGGAGTTCAAACCCGGAAACCGCAAGCTAGAAATCAAGAGCCCAGGATAATCAACCAAAGAAGTTTTAGAATATGAAATCAATTCGCTGAATGAAAATGTAAGGAGACTACTGATATTTTATAATTAGTCACATACAAAGCGTCTAAGTTGTACGACTGTCAAACTACAGCCGTATAACAACAATAAAGTTTTGAAACCTTGGAAAAAACCCAATCGAAACCTTATAATTGAATGAAAGATGTTTTACATTGTGTGCATATTTCACCGGAACAAAAATGCCGAAACAAGTCCAAGAAAAGCAAAATACTTAAGATAACGTATAGATATTTCGAAGTGATAAGAACGACGAAGTTTAAACAGTGGTGTACAGCTTTAGTGTACATGTCATACTGTAAATTGAAATACAGTAACTTCGGTATTGTTTTTCCAAAGTAAACGCTTCTTAACCCTTCTATGTTAATTTTTCGACATATTTCACATGTTAAAATTGCAGATAATCAAGATATCATTATATAACTGAGAAAAAATTTAAGCTGACACCTTACCAGCAAAGAACAGAGCAAGGAAAAGACAGATACGACAACAAGAATACCTGAAACTATAAAAAGCCGTCAAGTGTCCCGTAATCTCAAAATTTACGTGAAGATTAAATTAGAAACAAGGCAGATTTCACGTTATATCATCCAGCCCACAATGTCAGTTTCGGTTGTCTCGGGAGTCTCAGACAAAAGTAATACATTTTCCTATACTGCCTACAATAATCATAAACCTCATAGATTCATCTCTCACTATGATGAACTATTAATAAATGACATGAAATAGATACTTGTAGTAGCTTTTTAACCAGGTACTGACGTCCTTCAAATGAACTAGTTGTGCCCATTGAATTACACATACGCACTGAGATGTAAGGCGTTTAAGTTTAAGGTTTCCTATTTACTAATTTTTAGCACCTAAAACCGTGAGGGTAAATCGCATAATGAGCACTATACCATTCGGCCTTGCGACCATATTAAAAACTAGTTCGCAAATCAGAATCAGAATGCTAAAGACTACACAAATACACTGATTTGCATTTGGTGACTAATTTCCATTATTCTGTTGTCTTCTACCACTTTCCTGTGATTCTGAAAGTTCGCAGAGTACTTCTTATCAATATTTTCCCTTTCTATGCTACTAGCTTCGTTTAAGTAACAACAGGAATTACCCGAAGGACTCTAGTCAAATTAGCGTCAACTACAAAACTTTAATATATATATATATATATATAAATATATATATATATATATATATATATATATATACATCGATACATCGAGGCCTCCAAAGCCTCAGGATGGTCGGGGGTGGGTGCCTTGCGCTGAGGGTTGGCCACCCCTCCGCACACCTCTTGAAATGCTCCCATATGACCGGGCGTCTTACATAGTCTCTCCTGAGGAAGTCCTACTCACTGCCTTCACGTGGCGGAGGTGTTTCTCACCAAAGTGAGAGGGCGAAAGCGGATGCCCGGCGCTCTCCACCGGGTTGACTGTCCATTGGATGACGGTCTAGGGGAGATGGCTAAACCCTGATTCCAAACCTCCAACGACTGGCGTATGAAGCTCACTGGAGCTCACCGGCAGACGTATGGACAAAGGGCTTATTGGATGCCCTGGATGATTGGCCCCATTCAAAAAGGCGAATGAACCGGACTCCGGTCACCGGCTGCCAATGGTTAGTGGACTCCCTACTCCACTCCTACTGCCTTGTAGGTCACACTTGGTTGTGTAAAGGCTAGAGCTGCACTCTCAAACAAAAGGCCGAGTGATTCTGGGGACATCACTCGTACCAAATTCCCATGAAACTTCATGAACTCTCTTACAAATTGCCGCGCCTGGGCAGCGATGATTCGAGACGTTCATGAAGCCGGCTCATCCTCCCGTAGGAGATAGCCGAAGTAAAGTAAGTAAAAGTACATCGATAACTATCACAAATGACTTCAAATACATACTATGAGTAAATTTATCTTCGTATTTTAATAAACTCCTAAAGTAATAAAATTCCCTCAAAATAGAAAACAAGTCTGAAGATGAAAAAGCGGATCTGGGAAGACTACAGGAAACAATTATGGATCATTGTGCTGGAACACCTTTTCGATTGGCAAGTACCCCTTTAAAATGATATGACTATTGGTCCCAGCAACTGTTTGTATCATGCTTAAAACCATAATTATATTACGAATACTGTGATGATTATGAACACGGAATCCTTTAGCCACACTTCACAAAACATATATCGTTATGGCTGAAATCTTCACCTCTGCAGATCATAAGACAATACATGAACATACTATTTGTGGTTCATCCATCTACTGAGCGCCTATATATATATATATATATATATATATATATATATATATATATATATATATATATATATATATAACTGACATCACATCCGCTCTGTAAGGTCACTATAGATATAATTAATGTTCGAGGTTACTCGGCAAGCAGGAATCTGAGTACTACTCACTCGATTAAAGAGTCAGTTGTTTTCTATACGTAATAATAGCGGATTGATATGATGGACTATGTTGATAATTTTTCTCGTAAACCCCTAGATCTTGGTACGATGCCAAAAGGACGAAAGGAATATTACAAACATCAGTTATAAATTATCCTGAAATGATAACTGGTAAGAATAACGGACTTTAATGTTCTAAACTGGCAGTATTAGTGATAAGACTTGCTTATTCAAATACCAAGACAACCATTACATGATAGGTTTAATCAACCTTTTAACAGTTACAGTATAAGCGTTTGACAGATAATAGATGTAAGCGATTTTAGGGACTGAGTAAGATATTTTAAGAATTCGTAATTTGTGTGAATAGATTTACTACATTGTCATGTTGAACAAGAACAGAGTAGGAAGCAAAAATGTAATGCTTGAATGACAGACGACATATCGATGCTTACATCAGGATAAAGGTCTTCTTCAGCTCCTTGACTTTTTAAGCTAATAAACAGCACATTTGTGACGCGAAAAACCTCGAATGCTGGCAACTTTCCCACAGAAGTACAGCCAGTGACCATGACAAGAAACGAGTTTTGAGCAAATATACTAGAATCCGCAGTAGGAGATATCGGAGGCACCAAAACACCAAGACATGCATAGGCATCTATTGCCTTCGTGTACTGATATTTTCGGATATCAAACTGAATAGGACTTATATGTGCTATAGCCCCAGATTCAAACAGTAAAGCACCTTTGACAAATCGATTCTCCAGGACCACATTATATGGCTGAGAAGTATCCGCATTATCTATGTTTGTACTTCTTAAAAGAACTCTGCAATTCTTCAGAAACGACATTTGTGATGTATTTTATGACCTTGAATGGGAGACAAAAGTCCCTCCACTAATAGACAAGGTCAGTTTTCAGAAAGTTGAGAATCTAAAGTAAGAAAGTAGAATTTCTCCTATTAGATTGTTTGGCTACGGATCATTTATAACGTTTCATTGCCTTGATTTCCTGTTTCCCAACAGCCATCTAAAAATAAAATTTCATCTAAATGGGAGTGGGAATTCTACGATAATTTAAGATAGTAAGACGCTTAAAAAATTTAGACACTTTTTATTTTAGCATTACAAATTCCCACTTCACTGACATGCATTTTAACTTCAATATTTATGTTAAATACTTCAGAAGGCTTTGAAATAAGTATGTGACTCAGTTATCTATGAGATTAGTCCTATTCCTATTATAATTCCCAGCACCTTCCGTGATATTCCTTTGCTGCAGTGAAAGAAATTTTCGTTCACCTGCCTTAAATTCACATTTCAATTTTCACATTCACTTTCATATTCTTCCCGCGCTGCGTAACTCCTATCAAAATAAGCCAGTTAAGTAAAGAATTACATATAAATTTTGTGATACCTCCATAAGTCGATATGGAGTGGTAAATTATATTACACATTCTGAGGAACACATAAACACCTGTTGTTGCCTTTTTATGGCGAAACAGCACCATTGCTTGAACTGACCGTAGATGTCTTGACAGCCTGCACGGGTTTTTGTTACAATCAGAAATAAACGTTAGTTTTTTATAAGTGACACAGTGGACTGACTCGAAAATTGTCTTGCACTACATTAATAATACAGACGATTCATTTAAGATATTTGTGGCTGACTAAATATCAACAATTGACGACCTCCGGAAAGTTTCTCAATGGGGATATGCGTCCTCGAAGAAGAATGTTTCAAATTTCGAATCTCTTGGAATGCCCTTTGGGGATGAATATATCAAGGTATTATTAACTTATAACATGACCTGATTTGTGCAGGCATTCGATTATAAAACGCGACTTGGCCTGATGAATGGAAGCATCCGGTAATACTGCTTTCCAAACATTATGTTACAGAGTTGAATCTAAGACACTTCCACAACGTACAAGGATCCGTAGGTGTTGCACAGGTACTGACACCTGCAAGAAAAAGGGTTTGGATAATACTATGAAGCGAAGCAACGAGTTAGGTTATCGGAAATTGTATGCGGTGTAGGAGGAGAAGTTCTGAGTCGAAACGTCAGGTGATCAAACCCATGCTGACGGCTAAAGTTGAGATTAACACCGTTATCTTCTGTAGGTGCTAACTATTTCAGGTCAACAACAGTGACACTGAATAGGAGACATGGAAAGCGACGTTGCTGTATTTTCACGTGTCCGAAATCAAAAGCCGTACATCAAGAGGTAGCACACCATCTCTCCAATAACACCTTTACAATGGAGCTGATGACGTTTATTGATTAGTTTTATTGCATATCGCCGCCAATCATAGCGTTAATGTTTGTTCCTGTGTTGGTTTAGTAACAAGTTTTGCTTCTTAATTTCCTTTTTAGATGAAATTTCGCATTTAAAAAACTTCTGACTCACATAATATCAGCGGAATAAAGTACTTGAACTGTGTTACATTTGCAGCACTTGTATCAGGAAATGTCACCTTATACTGATATCTGCGCAATGTGATGGACTAAATAAGGTAAAAAGTTCAAAATTCCGAGGTTTATTTTTGAATTTTCATGGAATCATGCTGATATATTCGGTCTATTTATTGAGATGCTATTGTCTTAATTGGTTTGGTAGTTGCTGGTATTCTTAGCTAATTTTCAGTATCTATTTCACTTTTCATGTACTCATAACAGTCAGCTTTTCATTTTTAAGACAAAGCATTAGCTCTATGGTCATAATATGTAGCGTTGTTGTGAACTCGTTTTTCAGGTGGCCTTTATTTTTAGGGAAGCTTTAACTGTCACAGTATTCCGATTTCATAAATTAGGCTTATGTGTGAAAGAAATTTTTTGCCTCAATTGGAATAAAGGCAGGTTGTTTAGAAGGCGAGTAGTTTTTCATTTTTCAGTTTATTCGTGTAAATACTTTTACTCATCGAGTTACATTGCAGTTCCAGGCGAAGCAAGAGGTTATGAATGCCTTTCCCTCTCTTCTGCATGGATAACACTGGAATTACTTCACAAGACTCCATGTTAAGTTCAGTAAGGACAAAAGGAAGCTTTTCCACTTCCGTGTTATGAGTTAATTGTGAACCATGTAGGCTCTTGCAGTTATTCATTTGTCAAGGAGGCCTCATATTAAAATCAAAAGTGTACATGTTTGACTGAACCTTATGCACTTCCTGTATAGATCTGATTATCTGATCGATAAGTGGTCGTTTAATAATTACTGGCTGTTGCAATCAAGCCGAAATTCTAACTCGTAATTGTAAGAATTGCCGTCATTTTCATCGGCGGCAGTTCATAATCCACTCAGTTTACACAATCACAGTGCCCATTTCTCACTTTGCTGAGGAAATTTTAACTGGATTTTTGAAAAGGCAGTGCGTCAATTTGTGAATTTCACGATTTTACAGATTGCATCCTATCAAATTAGAGCTGAAACTAAACTATGAGGGGATTTATATTTCGAAGCACGATGTAATACGTGGCTCATTTCTACAGCTATAGTCCTTATTTTAGAAAAAGTGAATTTGTGTACAAGCTTTTATGCTGAACGTCAGTCAAGATGAAATACAATCAAGGTATAACGAAATGTTAAAGAGTGGATGATAATCATCGAAGTGTCATTAAATTATAGTCATATTTTTTCACCTCGTTCGTGTTTAACTACATAAAGAGTTATCCCACAATAATTTCTTCTATACAGGATATGTTTCAAAGTTTGTCGTGTGAAGCCCCGTGAGTTAGTTAATTTTATCTCACAACCAAAATGCAAAGTCGGAACACATTGGATGAAATATGTCAATGTAGTTGAAGACTGAACGATCAATTCATGGTTGTTTGGTCAAAACCAACTTCCCCAATTTTCCCGGAGGCATCAATACGACAGTCATCGTCTCATCGGTCGCTGTTCAGAATGAAGTCAGCGGAAAACCGTCAGAAGTAATATTGTGATTTATTATTGTAATATTTGTTCACAGACCTTAGTGATAACAATTTTTATATGTTGGTGTTACAATAAAGAATTCTCGAGTGGCCGATCGGTGTTTTGGTTTTTTCGTCCGTTATTACTAAGTGTTTCTGAGAAACTTCAAGGAACAGCGTGAGCCCGAGTGCAGCAAGAGCCGGGCATTAACGGTTTAGGAGACGTGGCTGACAAAATAAGTTTGCTTACTAACAACGAAGTAAAATTGTCTTCCAGTGTTGAATATAACAAATCGAAATACTGATATTCTGTGCTTACGAGTTTGTTGAAGCTAAGTAAGAGAGCATTTGTCGCCACGCTTGAGTAGTGTCAGAACGAACTACAGTGGTAACTGGTCTAAAGAATCATCAGTCCTGTGTCAAACAAGTCGAACACTGAACGATCAATTCATGGTTGTTTGCTCAAACCCAACTCCCCCATATTTTTCGCGGGAGTCATCAATCCGGCATTCATCGTCTCATCGTTCGCTGTCCAGTGGAAAATAGAAAACTATCAGAAGTACTATAGTGATCTATTGCTATAATATTTATTCTTGGACCTTGTGTGTAATAGCCTTATTGTTGATTACATATTGCCTTAAGAATAAAGGATTCTCGAGTCGCCAATCTGTGTTCTGGGTTTTCGCGTTGGTTATTACACATTGTTTCTGAAAGTCTTCCAGGGACAGCGTTAGGTCCAGTGTAGTAAGAGCTGGACATTCACAGTTTCTGAGACTTGACTGACAGCTTCTGTTCAATTTCCGGCGAAGCCGTAATATCTCCCTGCATGTTTTCTTCAATGCACACTCATAAGGAACGATAATTGTTACCGAGAAATCCAGCCACAAGCATCTGTGACACAGTCGATTTACTTTTTTAGCTAAAAGTGGTAATACTGATATTAGGCGTGATTTACCTGTTAACTGAGGTACTCTAGTGTAACATGGCACCACATCCCAACAGGGTACTCTGTTTTCATAAGAATTCTGCAGGTACAAGAGGAGTTCATGAACTGAGCATATGTTAAATATGGAGGCGTCCCAACGAGTCATTTAGACGAAAGGCTTATGAAATGCGACGCCTTAAACACGCACCTTCAAATATGGGGATGTGTTACTTCACGTGAACTCTGAGCCACATCGGGCAGGCATTTTTCAAATCGACCCTCCCTAGTACGCTCAATTATTGTTCGTATGTATGTAATGGCTTGGTGTGGTTCTTAGTCTGCCTATAATTGCGGAAAGTACCTATTTTTAGGGGAAGCTTTAAATGGATTTTCGTAAAACCTGTGGTGTTCCTTCTCTAGCCTTAACTGGTGCCACATTGATTGACACGATTAAATAAACAGATTGTCACATGGTGTGTTCTGTAGCCGCAAATCGTAGTTACCTAGTTTTGAATTGATATCAGGCGTCTAATCCTATTAACCTATCGATATAATTCTTCCTTCACGACATCTAGAAGTCAGCAGCACACCATCTTCAACAGATCTAGTTTTACTTCGTAACTAATTGGTGAGTCACCTGGTGTTGTGTTAGCAGAAAAACAACTCCAAACCTAAGTATTTTTAAATATGGACATTCACTTACTTTGGCAACAATTTAATCTTTGTATCAAGAAACCCTTAGGGATATCAACCTTTACTTAATAATTGAAAAATAGTATTAAATGCCATGTTACTAGGTTATTCAAAAGAAAGAATTATGAGTGAAATAGCACTCGGATAAACTTATCCTAACGTAACTAAATAATGATAATCATTCAGCCTACCAATACGCCGTTTACTTTCATTCCTAATTCAAAGACAAGTTGAGTTACCCACTAAATTAGTTGTTTCAGGAGGCTGAATTACTCCTGTCCCCAAAACACTTTACCCGATCGTGTTTTACTTCGAAATATGTGTATACCGACCAGTTGATGCTACTTATCCAGTCATACTGCTATTCAGTTACACTGTGCCACCTCTGTTCATATCAGACAAAAAATCCCTTAAACTATGAACACGTTACCACGATTTCTAAAAAAATAACCTTAACCATTCAATGTGATTATTTGTACTAGTAGACTTGGAACCCTTATGGGTTAGACGACTGAAGTTCAACCTAAAAATTACATTTAGGATTGCTGAAGGGCTTATATATTTCCCCCACAATGACTTTACTTTCAGTTCACCTAAGAAATATAACCTCAGAAATAAATCTTCTTCTTTTAAAGTTCCCCACTGTCATACAAAATACAGATCAAACTCTTTCACTGTGAGATACCGTTGCATTTGGAACCGTCTTCCAACTGAAATTAGAGACAGACCTACCCCAAAAACCTTCTCATCTTTGCTGAACAAATATTTCATTAACAACGGGTTAGAACGGGTATGTGACAAACTAAAAATTAGAGATCTAATACGGCACTCCTCTTATCCTCACTGTTAGCTCCTGAAATCTGTAAACCCTATGTTTGACACCACTTTCACTATGATTACTTTCACAACCCTAGTCACCTATTCTTAATCAGCCTTAAATTTTAAATTTTTTTATTTCTTTCTTCAAATATTTTTGCATATATCCCTGATAATATTGTATTATGAGTATTTCAGTATGCTAACGTTCAATCTCAAGTTCCAGATGCAAATCAACTGAAGACGACTGGTATTAAAATATCTCCGGAGCCTGCCTAGTGCTATACGTCTAGCTCTACGCAAATTAAGGACAAAATGGTGGTTGTCTAAATATTCAAATAAACGGTGAGTTTTCAATAGTAGTGACTCTTATCCTATTATTCTATAACTATAATCCTGTATGTTCAACTTTTCTTGAACAACATATTATAACTTACCACTACTTATCTGCTCAATGCTGCACGATTATTCCCTGATTTTCTGAACTACATTTGTTTATATCCCAAATGAATCTTATCTTACTATTCTATTACTATAATTCTGTATGTTCAACTTTTCTTGAACAACATATTATAACTTACCACTACTTATCTGCTCAATGCTGCACGATTATTCCCTGATTTTCTAAACTACATTTGTTTATATCTAAAATGAAGACTCAGTTAGCCTTTCTTTCTTACATTTTTCGTCTTCAAAATGCTGTAAAAGATGAAACATACATGATGTTCTTCCGAAAGTAGTCATTCATACCATAAATTTGAGTAAGTCGACGAATGAATAGTTGGACAAACAAAAAGTTTGTAGCATTTTGCAACAGAAATTTAAAAAACTAAAAATAAATATAAAAAAATAAAGCATTCCGCCAGGGCCTTGCACAAAAAAGGTGGGAGGGTGGTGACTGCTAGTCAGCGGATATGATGGTGGGGACATATGTGAACCACCCTTATCTGTAGAACAGCACTCTATTGCTATGGCTCCTGAGTTCGGATGGCTTCTGCGAAATGAGAATAAATAAAAAACTAAAAACTAAAAAAATAATGAAAAAAAAGAAGTAGAAGTTGAAAATTGCCTAGAGCCGAAGTTTAGACGCAAACTCCCGAATGAAAGTAAATGGTATGAGTCCACTACTTCAGAAGGACACCGAACTGTATACTTCAGAAAAACATATATTACCAGGCCCTCGCTTTTCTTTTACATAGCTCACGCACTCTGACTTTTGTGTTTAATTCCTTTTAAACCTCGTAAGTAGGTGAAATTATCACCTGTCTTTCACTTTAAACTAATTTTTCGCAGAAAAGTCTGTAAAATATCGGGAAAATAATATTTCTTGAAAAAAAACAATAAAAAATGATGAACCCCATGTCTGTTATATACTTTGAATTATTAACACCTTTCATTTACTTCTGCACCTGTCTGGCGGTTTTCTTGTGTCTTCTTCTCTTTTCAAACATACTGCCTTCAATGAAGGTACTCATACAGCGTTGCTATTCTCCATTTATTCGTGATACTGCTAGCTCATCTGGTAAATAACGGGATCACCGATATTATAAAATCTGCTAACAAGTTCAAAGTCGGTCTCATAAACAACTGGAAATGTCACAAATATGGTGTACTTACAGGTGAATTTAATGTTTAATAGACTTTGAAACACTTTATGAATCATCTACTGATAAGTATTGTTTATACTGCATCTCCTATGTATCACGTCAGCACCTGTACAAAAAATGCTACTTACCTCCCCAACTAACGCAATCATTTATGATTCCCGCGTGAAATTGTTATGTTTTTTCAATCACAGTTTAGATTTGACGCTATATCTATTTCCTCATTTGTAAACTTCATTTTACATTTTTCCCTCACATTTACCAGTATTCAAATTATTTCTAAATTAACAAATCATATTATACATTCTGTAAGTTTTCATGAGTGTACATATGTTCATGCCTGTAAAAATGGCTGGTTTCTGTTACAGAAATAAAACTATTATTAGTATTTCGAGATGACTGAATTACAAGAATTCAACCAAAACACACAGAGGGAGGAATTCTGGAATTTGTATTTGGCGGAATTATTATTCAATTCATATAAGAAATATATTAACAATCAGCAGTAAGCATTTAAACAATACAGAGATAGAAATAGTCAATCACCACATCCGCCACACGTCGAGTATCTCCTTGCGTATTCATAGTGATATCGCGGTTTGCTTGCCAGTCTCTGCGATCTTCTAACTGATTCTGTGATATTATTTCCATCAGTGTCATCTAGAATGATTTCCGTATTATCTACAAAATCAGGATTAGTGGCAGAATCATTAAAATTATAATCGTAACGACCTACTTCATTTATTCTCACTTGATCCAGGTGTCTGTTATGAATTGAGTGACCTTTGATTTCTAATATCTTCACCACTCGATTTCCCATTTTTTGTAGTAAGATTCCAACAGAAGGTCTATAGTCATTCCCTTTGTAATAATGTACATTAGAAGTCATGGACATCAGATGCTTTCTGAGAATTCGAGATTTGAATGGTTTTGCAGGACTTTAATGGGTACTTGTATGCTCTGCGTTCAACAAACACAATCTATGCAGCAATTCCTCCATTTTAATCAGTTGGTCTCTCATCTCAGTCAGCTATTGATGAATAGACAACCAACCAGCTTCCATTTCACTCACTTTTTTTCGTGTTTTCGACAGTTCGCAGTGTAACTTGGCTACCTCATTTTTGAAGACACGTGATACAGTTGACGCTTGAGCTGCTGAACTTGTAGTGATGGTTTACATTGGATGAGATTGAGTATTTTGAAAAGTTGAAAGACACATTGACTCCATTTTACTAGACAAATTGGGAGAACTATAAGAATGCTGAGTAACATAAGTATTCGAACTTCTGCAAACAGATTTGATGTGTCCAACTTTCCCCTATTTATGACACTTAGCACCCTGACAACAGCAAGTGCTTCGTGGATGAATCTTTCCATAAGAAAAACACGGTTTAATGTTTTTGCTCTCTCGCTGCATTCTATTACATGAACACTTGTATTGTCGACTTTGGAAAGCATGATATCAGATACTGACGTATTGGGAGCAGAGTATTCATCATTGACATCTTCATATGTAATACATAAATCTTTAGCAGTTTGAAAAGTACAAGAAGGAATCTGAATTAACTCTTTCTCTAACTTAGGAATATTGATTCCAGCAATTAGACGATCACGTAGTTGAGTATGCAGCTGATTTCCAAAATTGCACCTTGAAGCTTGTATTTGAAGTTGAAGAATGAAGTCTCTAATCTTCTGGTTGGGAGAACGGACCAGTTTGTTGAACTGAGCCCTCTCTCTGGTCTCAAAAGTAGTTACATGAAAGTGATGTATCAGAAGTTTACGGAGCTTGTCATATGACAGAGAAAGGGGATTATCTGGAAACGACAGAGTCTTCACTAGGCTATATGCATCTAGCCCAATAGCAGTGATGAAATATGCTGGTATTTTGTCATCCCGAACATTCTTTGAAATGCACCATGCGTCGAAGCATTCAAGATAATCAGGGATTTCCCGCGGTGAACCATTTATAGGAAACTTTTCAAGGTTATTTAGTTCCATTGCGACGCCAAAATGTTGTAATTAATTGTACTAGTAGTATTAGTGTTTCGAGATGACTGAATTACAAGAATTCAACCAGAACACACAGAGGGAGGAATTCTGGAATTTGTATTTGGCGGAATTATTATTCAATTCATATAAGAAATATATTAACAATCAGCAGTAAGCATTTAAACAATACAGAGATAGAAACAGTCAATCACCACACATTCTAATGTAACGATGCTAATATCTTTGTCGCTAACGTGAAGTTTCGACTTTCGAATAATCAGTTTCCCCTTACATGAGAACCTGTTTATTTTTCATTTCAATTTTAACGAATGGTTCTAACCTTTGACTACTGAATTACTACGTTTCACTATATCATTATATACTCAGAGGCGGACGTTTCTTCTAAACGCACTAGTCAATACAACACATGACCCTAATCTCCCTAACTATGAAGCTCACAACATTTTACAAAATGAGTTGTCACTATTGACAAGTAGAATGTCCATTTGAGGTATAGGGAATATATTTATTAGTGATCCAACACAAAATACAAAACTAACGATACTGGAAACCGCTTTCTTCAGCAACGAATCTCACGAGGTCATCGGAATTACAAAGTAGCTAAAAAAAGATGACAAGGGTTCACATGATGTATGGATAAATATAACTATTAACATAATAATGAGCGAGTTATTACATCAAGAATTAATGAAGTTTCGTGTGACGACGAATAGTTTTAAAACTCACAAAGGTGGTTTAAACATCCCAATCACACTTGGTCCTCCACAAATTTTAGGATACAATCCAAACACGTTTTATAGATAGTGTCAATGGAGTTGAAGATTGAACGATCAATTCTTGGTTGTTTGCTTAAAATCAACTTCCCCAATTTTCGCGGAGGCATCAATACGACAGTCATCGTCTCATCGGTCGCTGTTCAGAAAGAAGAGTGAAACATCGTCAGAAGTAATAGAAAGATTTATTATTGTAATATTTGTTTTCAGACCTTAGTTCGCTTATTCCTTTTATATGTTGGTGTAACAATAAACAAATATCAAGCGGCAGATCGGTGTTTTGGTTTTTGCGTCCGTTATAACTAAGCGTTTCTGAAATCTTCGAAGAACAGCGTGGGCCCGAGCGTAGCGAGAGCTGGGCATTAACGGTTTATGAGACGTGATTGACAGTTTCTGACGATAGAAACAGATCTGGCGGATTCAAACAGTTGGTGAAAGTTTGGATAGTCGCCGTTCATTTTTCCTGGTGCCGGTCAAGTCCTCTTTGAACAAGCAATATCTGGAACTTTTTGGAATTGGGTCAAGTTCAACAATGCCTGGGTCAAAGAAGGGACAGAGTGTCTTGGATGCAAACAGGAAAGTAAGTCATGGTGACTTGTCTGTTAATTGTAACGATGTGTCTGATGTTAAGCATGACATGGTTGATGTTACTGTTTCGCCGTTCAGGGATAATAGGAACATCAAACTCCCTAAGTTTGAACCACGGTGTTTTGATGGAAACCCGGCCGATTATTTACAGTTTGTTAAGGAGTTTGAGATCATGCTGAGTAGTTTTTTATTAAGTGATGAATTGAAATTGATGTATTTGATGAGGTATTGCACTGGAGATGCTTCAAGAGCTATACAGTGCTGTAAGCTCATGCCCCCTAATGAGGGATACGCTGAGGCTATGAGCATATTACGTCAAAGGTTTGGAAGGCCTTCGATGATTGTAAGGAACGTATACGAAGCTGTCAAGGGTAATGGCAGTCAACTTCGAGATGACTCCAAGGCACTCACTGAGTTTTTAGACAATCTTATGACTTACAAGAATACCTTGATTTCTATGAATTTCATGAGTGACCTCAACTCCAGCTCAGTCCTAGAGGTAATTGCAAGACGCCTACCTACGCGGCTGCAAAGGAAATGGGTAAAAATAAGCTCTCGTATAGAGGAGGAGGGTATCGAGCCAAGGTTTGATGATATTCTTAGACTGGTGAAGGACAGTGTCAACCAGGCGATGGGCAAATTCGCCAGCATTTTGCATTCTAAGGTAGAACCTAAGGAACCAGTGAATATAAGGAAGGCATTTGTGGTGAAGTCTCAAGACACAACGAGAAAGGATGAGTGTATTGTCTGCCATAACATGCATCAATTGAGTGATTGTAATCGCTTTATCGCTATGTCACCCGTAGAAAGGTTAAAAATGGCAAAGCAGAAGCGGCTGTGTTTCAGTTGTTTAAAGATTGGGCATACAAAGTGGAATTGTAAGGCGACAAATAAAGGAAGTAGTGGTTTAACGGATATGCACCCACTTCTGAGAACAGTGAACGAACCTGGGAGTTCGGTTAATTGTAATAGTATCTCTAGACCCCTTGACATCCCACAAGTTTTCTTAGGGGTATTACCAGTTAAGGTGAAAGGACCGAAATCTTCAGTAGAGACTTATGCATTGTTGGATAATGGTTCAGACGTTACATTGATAGATGCTGAACTGGCTGGTTGCTTGGGTATTAAAGGCCCAAAGCAACCCTTGGTTGTAAATACTTTCAATTCTGCGAAAACAGTAGTATGTGAGCGAGTGTCATTTCAGTTAGAATCCTTGGCTACTGGGGAGACCGTGGAAGTGGATACTGCTTACACTACCTCCAGTATGAAACTTGGCGAAGCTATAGTACCTAGTCGTGAAACGGTTGTCGGTAAGCCGTACCTGTGTGACATACCTCTTCCAACATTGCAAGATGGAAGAGTGAGAGTACTCATTGGATGTAGTGTGCCAGAAGCTCACAAGGTATTAGAAGAGAGATTTGGAGGTAGAGATGATCTGTTTGCGACAAAAACACCACTGGGATGGACAGTGAGAGGACCTATACCCATAGTCCACATATCATCATTAGTTACAAACGATGGGGACAAACTAGAAACTATGATTAAAAATATGTATGACAAGGAGTTTTGTGACTGCGGTGTCCCAGGGAAAGGTCGTTCTGTAGAAGACTTGAAAGCAGTTAAAATAGCCGAGGACTCTTGTAAATACGAAAACGGGCGTTTCAGCGTTGGCCTACCATGGAGATTCAAAGATAGACAGTTGATTTGTAATAGGAAAGTTGCTCTTAAGAGACTAATGGGTTTACAGAAGAAATTCCTGTCAGATGCAGAACTCTGGTCCAAATATAAGGAAGTCGTCGATAAACATATAGTGAAGGGTTACGTTGAAAGACTAGTTGATCAAAGTGAGCCAGGGAAGTGGTATTTGCCCCATCATCCCGTCTTTAACCCGAGGAAGCCAGGTAAACTCCGTGTGGTGTTTGATTGTTCTGCGAAACACGAAGGAGTCTCTTTAAATGATAATCTGTATAGTGGCCCAGATTGCGTGAGCTCATTAGTGGGACTGCTATTGAGATTCAGAAAGTTTACAGTTGCTGTCGCGGCGGATATTGAGGAAATGTTCCTTCAGGTGAAGGTGCCAGAGAGTGACAGAGATCACTTGAGGTTTTTGTGGTTTGATGACGGTCCTTGTGGTAAGGTGTCAGAATATAGGATGACAGTGCATCCATTTGGTGCCACATCCTCCCCATTTTGTGCTAATTTTGCTCTACGAAAGGCAGTGTCCACATTTGGTTCTAATGATTTGCTGGACGTCATAGATTGTTGCTTCTACGTGGATGATTGTTTAGCCTCCTTCGATGATGATAAGTCTGCAGTTAGATTTGCAACAAGCATCACTGAAGTGTTAGCTAAGGCCGGCTTTCGTCTAACTAAGTGGGTCTCGAACAGCCTAGACGTTTTGAAGCATATAGATCCAGAAGACAGAGCACCTACCGTACGAGATTTGCCTGTTGATACTCTACCAGTTGAACGCACATTAGGTATGCGATGGGATGTGAACTCTGATACCTTTGGATTTAGTGTTGGTGATATTGATAAGCCAGTTACTCGGAGAGGTGTGCTCTCTGTGTTGTCGTCCGTGTTTGACCCACTTGGATTAGTAGCACCTTATCTACTTCCGGCTAGGAGGTTATTTCAAGAGACATGCAGGAAAGGGTTACAGTGGGATGAACCATTAAGTGAGAGGCAGAGAGAAGAGTGGAAGGGGTGGGTTAACAGTTTAAGAATGCTGAATCTACATTCCGTCTCACGTCCACTTAAGCCGTCGAGAAATCATGATATAATTGACTTCCATGTTTTTTCTGATGCCTCTGAGGTTGGATTTGGTGCAGCCGTATACATCAGAACCACCTTAATGAATGATATAGATGTTAGCCTGGTGATGGGTAAATCCAGAGTTGCACCTCTAAAGACGGTTTCGATTCCGAGATTAGAACTTAATGCCGCCTTACTAGCTGCGCAGTTATTCACAACGGTGTGTAAAGAGTTGGATTACCCCAAGCATCCCGTAACGTTTTGGACTGATTCGATGTCTGTGATATATTATATACGCAACGAGTCAGCAAGATATGCATGTTTTGTAGCTAACAGAGTATCTCAAATTCGTGAACTAACAACTGTTGAGCAGTGGAGGTACGTACCGTCTGGAAAAAATCCAGCTGATCTAGCATCGCGAGGAGTTATTGATATGAATGTTGTTAAAAATAAGTGGTGGAAAGGTCCAGAGTTCTTGCTAAGGGCTGATAGTATGTGGCCTCGTAGAGAAGATGAACCACCGATAAACGAGTGTGCCTTGGAGTTGAAGACAAGTGTCAGTTTAACATCTACTCAAGAAAGACATTCAGGTTTACATCCACTTTTTAAATATTATTCTTCTTGGTACAAACTACTGAAAGCGGTTGCGTGGTTGACACGATATGTTACGTATTTAAAGGTCATGCATCTTGCGGGATACGAAAATATGAATGTGGGGCCTTTGAGAGTCGAAGATATTAGAAATGCAGAGTTAGCGATTTTGAGGGCTGCTCAGTGGGAAGCGTGGGGTGAGATTGCCAAGGAGGATAGTCCCGATTTCGCAGATTTCAAGGTGCGGTTAGATAGATTATCTCCGATAGTTTCCGAAGGGATCGCTAGAGTTGGTGGACGTCTACAAATGTTAGAATCGTCATATGAGACCCGTCATCCGGCTTTATTACCTTGCTACCATCCAGTCACTGATCTCATTAT